ATAGCCTCACTGGGGGATGCCACTGTCATGGTGATGGGTGGAAGGAGGGAGACCAACCCACAGAAGTCAAGCTGGGCCACACCGTCCCTTGGACGTGGGTTGCTGCTACAAAGCCATGGGGAGACGTGGACCAGTGGTCTGGCGGGTCTGCCTTGGGGATCTCAGACCTAAGGCCCACAGTCCCTGCAGGTCTGTGGCAGAGCCAGGTGAGACTCAGGCCAACAGCTGCCATCTCAGTGGGCTCGCCAGTCCCCCCACCCCAGGCAGCACACACCCCCAGCCTCACTGGTGGAGGCTGCCAAGGAGCAGGCTTCCACCCCTGCTGAGTCCCCATCCTGAGCAAATATCAGCCTGACCCCAGGCAAGGAAGAAATCCCAGCAAGCATCTGGGCTGGACCAGCCCCCAGTTAGTCTCCTGCAAGATCCTTAGTAGCAGGTTTCCTAGCAGAACTTGCATCCTGGGCTGCAGGGAGATATTTGGTTTAATTAAAGGGGCATTATTCGTCTTCTCCAGAGATGAGTGGATTCCCCCCCACCTCCTTGGTGTTTGATCCACCCCAAGGCTGGCCTGTGACCTTTCTGGCTCCATGTGGAGTGGCCTGTCCTCTTGGGGCCATCTCTGTGTGCCTGCAGAGCAGAGTGATGCTTTATGTTGTAGGGGAGGAAAAATTGCTTCCTTCCACCCTTCTAGGTTCTTTGGCTGATTTACAATTAAATTGACATAGGACGGATTAATAGGAGAAAAACTATTTAAATTTTGCATATATGCATGAGAGGCCTACAGAAACATGAGAATCAAAGAAGCAGCCAGATGATTGATGCTGCTGTGTTTGTCACCTTCGGCTGTGGGAATGAAGAGGGGTTTGGGGCTTCTGGGGGTGGAGGTAGAAGGAGGGAATGTGTGGTGCATGAAGTCACCTCCTTGTCATGCAGGCAAGTCTCTTGGTGATGAAGGTTGTGCAAGGGCTCTCTTTCACGTGCAGGCACCATCACTAATGAGCAAGTCCCTTCTCCATTAAGTTCTTCTATGGAAGAGGAAGCTGACACTTTATTTTAGGCAGTTGAAGGGGACGNGAGGGCTGAAGCAGGATCGCAGCAAGCAGGCCCCTGCACTGATCCCAGCAGGGAGACGCAGGGGAGGGGTCCGCACTGGTGGCAGAGGGGGTGGTGGGAAGGGGCTGGAGCCAGTGAGTGTGTGAAGTGCAGGTGAGACTGAGGAGGTCAGAAGTGGGAGGGTGGCCCTGGCACTCCAGTGCTGGGGGGTTGGGGATGAGAAGGAGCCAGAGGACGAGCCCCAGGAGGAAGGAGGAGGCCAAGAGAGGCTGGCATCCCAGGTGGGAAACAGGTGGGGAGTGGGGCCAGCTGGGCCAGCGGTGCTGGCAGGTCAGCAGGGGAAGGGGAGCCCTGAGACCGCCCGCGCTCAGGATTCACAGCATGGAGGTCGCTGTCACACTTCATGAGAGCAGTACCAGTTGGTGGGGGAAGGGGGCAGGAATGAGGAGGTGACCGTAAAGACATGCTGACCCCTCCTGGGGCACGTGGAGGGGCAGCGGGTGTGGCATCAGGGACGACTTACACGTGGGGGTCCAGGAGGGAGGGACCCTGCTGCTGCATGGAGAGGAGGACGGTTGTTAGTGGATGACATCACGGCCATGGGGAGGGATCTTGGTGACCCCAGCCATCGACTTGTCCACTCTGTGGGGACNACCCTTTCCTGTAGTTCCCACACTCCACACTCTGACTGTTTCCAGCTGTGCAGCTGCACTCCCAGCCCAGCTCTGTCCCCTGCCCCGCAAAGCGCTCACCTGTCCCCAGCAGCCCGTTCTCTCCCAGCTGAGGCATTGAACAGATGCTGAGTTTGTGTTGACCATGTTGGGTGTGGTGGCCCTGGGGGTGGAGTGGTAGATTAGACCAGGTCCTTGCCCCTCCTGGCACCTCCGGGGGTGGGGTGGTGAGTGGGTTCTGTGAACAGGGAAACCAGCAGCCGTGTCCTAGTCAGGTGGTGAGAACCCAGGCAGCGTGGGGACGAGGGCTGGTGGGTGGGTGTCTGGGTGCAGAGTGGGTGCCAAGCTGCGGAGGTGCTCTCTGTGCAAGGTGGGAGCTACTGGGGGCTAGAGCCTAGGAGGGGTGAGGCCGGCTACTTTTTGAGCAGCTCTCCCTGGCCACCTGGTAGAGCTTAGACTGGGGAAGGTGAGGGCTGAAGCAGGATCGCAGCGAGCAGGCCCCTGCACTGATCCCAGCAGGGAGACGCAGGGGAGGGGTCCGCACTGGTGGCAGAGTGGGTGGTGGGAAGGGGCTGGAGCCAGTGAGTGAGTGAAGTGCAGGTGAGACTGAGGAGGTCAGAAGTGGGAGGGTG